TACTGATAATATCCATTGGCATATCCAGCATCAAATCTAGTGCAATGGATGGTGTGATGCATAACGCCCCTGTTAAGTACTGAACAGTACAAAGATATAAGTAATAAATCGAGACAATAATTATTATTATCAATTAATTATCAATTATTATTATCAATAATTATTATTAATTATTATCAATTATTGTAATTATAAAATGAATTATAAGTAGTCGCTGAAGCCAGCTATAATGAATACGGTATGAGGGAAGCAGTTCGAAATATAATTCATTTAGTTTAACTACCGTTTCCATTAAGCTATGCATTGTTTTTGTATAGCCGTGACACCTACTTTGACAACAATTAAACATATGCATACACAATTATTTAAGTAAACTATTAAATATACTTCTCTCTGGTTTTAGATTTGTGACGCAAATTTACTTTATGGTCTATCAAACTTATTTTGTTGGATTTTTTATATTTTGTGAAACAACTTTTTTCAACATACCAGCAAAAATAGCTGAATAGTTTCCATTAAACCTATCATTCGGCTTCAATAAAATTTTTTCCATCAAAAAACAATGTTTAGTTAATACAAAACTATTTTTAATATAATGTTTTGAAAATTACAAAACTACAAATACCGAAAACACTGCAACAAAACACTGAGAAAGTAATTATTAGGATTATATCATCAGATGCCATTAAGTTTTGACATGCCTCATTTGAAGGATACTAGTCTCCATAACACATAATGAGGTGCCATATTGTGTCAGAGCGCAGACTTATGGAATAACTTGATATATTAATGTCAACACACAAAAATGACATTACGACAAATGTGAATTGAGTTTTAAAACTAATCTCTGTATAATACATTTCCTTAAAGGTAATTCACTGTCAAGTTTAACATAAAATATTCACTATAAAAACACTTAAATACACTCAAATCTTACAATAAACTAGATTCACCTTCCAATAATTATTTGCTCAGTGAATGATAAGTTACCCAGTATTGTCCGCAATGGACTGCATTGAAATTCAGTGACGCCAGTAAATAAAATCAAACCAAAAATATGAAGTTAATGGCTCCAATGAATAACAGTTTACAATTAGATTTCTCTCATAAAATATAAAATTTTAGTTATTTTTAAAACTACAAACATATCTATCTAATCTAATCTATCTAATATAATATTACACCACATAAATAAAACACTGATATATATAATGAATAAATTTAATTGAATTATTAATTGTTATAAGCACTGTAAAGTAAACATAAGTGATGAGTTAATAATTTTTTGCAAACAAATACTATTATTAAATACTATACATTATTGCTCTTATCTCTCATTATCCAAAACGATTTCAATTTAATTTTGTTGAAAGCAGTTTAAATCATTTTTTTCTATTTTTTGTGAATAATTGAAATCTACATAAACATTTTACATTAAATATGCAAAAATATTGCTAGTTCCTGTCAAGTACATACATTTACAAAATGTGTTTTTTTTGTAGTTTTTTTTAGGCGCAGTGTTAAAAGCATTTAATTTTGTATTTTTCAACACAAATATGTAAATTTCCACTTGATTTGTATACTCTCTTCCGTTTCCGGAAGAATGAGTGCAAGGATGTGCAAATATATTTTTATTTTTTGTTGGAACTGCATTTTTTGAAGTGCGCTTATCATAAAGCGTATTGTCGTATTTATTTTGTTGCTGACATAATTTTATTCAATTCGCATACAATAAATACAATAAATACTGAATGCTGATATTAATGCACTCCTTGCACAGTTTCTAAGAGAACATTAAGTAACGAATAATCAATCGATGATACGAGTCCTTATAGTATGCAAGCGAATGCATTTCCAAAATTGTAAGAGAGGATCTATTGTAAAAACAAATAAATAATAATGAATAAATTCTTTAATTGAAATTAGTGGATGGATTGTTTGACTGAAAGTAAAGCATAGATAAGTAGGTAGGTTGAAGTGGAGGCATTGTTTCTAAAAAGCTCACTTGAGGTCAAATAATGGCCCATTGTGGCACTACAGAAATAGCATTGGTACATACATAGATTTAAATCAGTATACAGCCAACACCGAGAAAGGTAACGACTCCCCCATTACATAAAGGAAAACCAACCTGACAGTGCTATAAACTTGGCGAGGTCCCTAATATTACAAGATGAAGTAAAGTAAGCTCTCATTATTTTTAGCAAGCTATTATAATGCGTTCACAATAAAAACAACTTTATCAAATAATAGATGAAATACTTAATAATTTGAGAACATAAAATCAACAAAATTTTAATGAATTTGGTACTGTAAAATACAGTATACTAATATTTTAATTTTCACTAAACTTTGGTTATAAGAATTATATTTAGTTTTTACATCAATTACATTCATCTCTTTCTTGTTAAATGCTATTCCTCCAAGCGCTTCATATTTTTTTAAACTTCTTATAACTTAGAATTTCAAAATTTTCCTATCGTTGGAAAATTCTATGTTAATATTCGAGTATAAACTTTTGTTGCTCGAGTGCTTTTTTTACCTTTTTTCAGTTTTAAAACCTATGAAAAATAATTTACAGTAAATAAAATTTGACACGAGTGTAACACTTTTAGTTAGAAAAATTCCAGGGCTTCGAACCGGAATTTTTTCCGTTCTCGTTTTTGTTTTGGTTCAAAACAAAAAATATATCGGTTCGGTTCCGCATTTCTCTCAATAAAAATATCGATTTTTTTCGGTTTTAGGTTCAGTTCCGGTTCGATGTCCTGAATTTTTTCCGATCCGGTTTTCGTTCTGCTTCAAAACAAAAAATATATATCGGTTCGGTTCCGGTTTTCGCTCCAACAAAAATATCGGTTTTTTTCGGCTTTCGGTTCAGTTTCGGTTCAAAGCTCTGAAAACTTCACTTGTCACAGTTGAAGAACAGCAAATTCAGAATGTAAGAAAATTTTTATATACACTTCAGTTGGTACGGTTGAAGAATAGACTCTCTAATCGCATGAAATACTCACATATGCATATCACACAAGCTGATTGTTGAATTCTTTTTGTCACTATGAAACTCAGTTTCCATTAGAGCACTTCAAACCACTTTAGATTAGTTTGCCTTTGTAGACTGAGTTTACCTTAATAAAAATATACTGGCTTTTGGTATTACTCATATAAATAGTTAGTTTACGAATATGCAGCACTTATGTATTACATAGATATTCGAAAAGTGTATCGAATCTACATATAATAAAACCTTTAGAAGTACTGGTTACTTTTACAGTAACCGGTTATCTCTATACTAATCAAGCATAACATTTCTCAATTCTGTTCGCATTTGAGTTTGTTAACATTTAATTTCCTACTCTTCAACAGAAGAATCGCACATTTATGAGTTCTATTTGTGGAGGGAACACCAGGCAATATTCGTTCATATCATTTCATGTTCCACTTAAATAGTTGCGCATTTCATTGTTTTAAAACCTGTTAGCAAATATGAGCGACATATGAACATAAAAACTTAGCATACTTTCGGGTGCATTTCCAATTTTATAGGAAATGCTTCAACATATGCTGCAATCTCTTTACAGTTTGTGAGTGTGTGTGAGTGCTCCACTTCCTTCCTGATAACTATGGCAGTTGTCATATTGTATGTATGAATATGAAATAATGCAAATAGAATAAAATATAGATATTTTTTCTGCAATAATTGAACAGAATTTTTTATGACAAAGAAAGAAAATATTCCGCAAAAAATATATAAAATTAATACAAATGCAGCTGAAATTCGGAACAAATTCTATCCGAGATATTTTTAAATGAACCCACCAATAAAAAAATATGAAAGAAAGCTGCATGTATGTAAGTCATATTAATAGATAACCGAATTTCCAGTTCACAGCAAGTAGTTTAAATTTACATTTTATTTTCTCTTTTAAGAATGAATTAATTTTTGACTAATTTTAATATTTGTTGTTGTTAGTTAACGTATAATCAAATTACTTCATTTCCTTATCAAAGGACATATTCTACATTTGAATTGAGAAAGGCATTTGTGCATTAAGAATGGGGCATTGTACGAGTATGTGATGTGCCTAGGATATAATGTAATTAAGCATGTCAGCTACAATATGGTTTGGCAAATAAGCATGATACTGTCCTACTTATTAACTAATTTAGGCTGCTAATGACGACTCCCCAATGTATCTATAATATACCAAACTGTATGCGTATTATAAGGAGAACGTGCTGAAATTAGCGCTGGTAACAACAAACGTCTAATTTGCCTTTTAGAGCATTAATTTATTCAAAGCAAAATAAAAGTCTGTGTCATTTATTAGGACAATGCCGCAGTAGTTTCATTATTAATCTCAGCATGTTTGGTAATTTACGAGCAAATAAAATTAAATAAGTAGAAAAGTAAATGTTGTATTAATTGAATATTTGCGCTGCATGCAGCACTTTTTATTTTCTTGATGTATATTTTCTTTGTTTGGCATGGAATACGAAAAATTTGTATTCAATGTCCTAATAGTTTTCTTTTTTGTATTATAAACGACTTAAGTGAAAGACAAGAAAATGTTTAGATGGATAAATGCAATTAAAAAAAATAATAAAGCTTTAAAAATTTAAGAATATGTATAAGAAAATTATAAAATTCATCGTTCATGAGCATTTAATCTATGCACGCAAATGCTTTTTAAACTTTAAGATAATTATTATATATAAACAATAACAGATAAAAAATAAAAGATATATATATATCTTTGTATGATTATTGTAGTTTAAGCAATGCCTTATTCAATTTTTTAATAAAGTAATCAAAATTCAAACTAAACTGCTTTTACTCTTGAATCAAGTTTAATAAGTAAATTTGAGTCTTTAACTTTTGTTATATTGTTATAGAGTAAATAATTTATTAAAGAACGAAAATAGTTAAATTGTCAGAATGTAGCATATAAATTTGTCATCATATCTACTATAATTAAAATATATAAGAAGAAGACATTTACCTTTTCTCTTAACATATCGCGAATTCTGCCAGCTTGGTTTTTTGAGCGATGTAATTCCAATTGAAGTTCTAAACAGCGTTCTTGCCAATTTATCTAGATTGAATAAAAAAAAATTTATCAGCAATATATTATGTAGGTTGTAATAATTATAATTATAAATAAATAACCTTTAATTTTTTTTCACATTAATGAATTGTAATTAAAACAATTTTTGTGTAAAAATTAAATAAATTAAACATTTAACACAGTTTAAAAAGTGTAATTTTTTTATATATTTTAAAAAATATTTTTATAAACTTATGTGTTGAATAAACGAGCTAAGCCCGATATATTTAACCCAACCTAACCTTTACGTATCGATGACGTATCAATATAATTGACGTATATTAACTTTTAACGTCCTTTATTATTAATATATAATCTCTACTCTAATCTAATTCAAGCTCAATTAGACATTCATAGTCACCCTTTTTACTTTCATTTGCTTCATATTCCACCATTATTAGATTTCAGATAAACTCACGAAAACCTTCTACAAGGCCTCCAAACGAAGGTTTTTATTCAAAACCTTCTATGAAGGTATTTATAGTTTTAAATTATTTAAATGTTAACTAAGAAGATAATATTACTTACTAATATATAATTGAATTAAAAAAAAAGACTTGTAAAAATAACTAACTATAGAAGAATAAGGAATTGGATTTATATGATAAGACAAATATAAGCAATGTGATCTACGTGCTTGGAAAAATGTTATACAAGTATTCTCGGATTTTCGGATCTGAACATATAATGTTCATAATGGTAGAAAAGTGACTGAAAGTCATATTTTGGAGTGGTCAGAAAGAATTGAATATTCTAGCTTCATCGATTAACTGTTATGAATACGTTGATATTCCAACGACTTGTTTGATATCGTTAATGAAAGAAAAAATATCACTTCCAGTGACTAGTTTCTCAGGATAAAAATGCTACGATAATGTTACGCTGTGGTTGCCATAATAGTCCTGATTTTAACATTGAAAATATGTGGATAATACTGGATAGCCGGGCTGCAAAAAACCTCACAAAATAGTGAAAGATATAAAAGAAACTTTTTTGGAAGAATGGAAAAATATTTCCATTGATATTCTCTATAATTGGTTTTTGTCAATTTCACATTGCATACCTAAGTTTTAAATTTACATTTTACACTTATTTTAAAGAATGGTTCTTCTTTCCGAAGTTAACATCCAGAAGTTAAGTTATCTGATCACAGTTCCTCATTGTCAAATCAAACGAATCAAAAAGGAGCCAAAAAAAATGTCACAATCTAAGTGAGACAAATAAGAGGCTACAACAATCTTAAATTCGTACGGCGTGACAAAAATTTTAACCCGATAAAAAATGAGGAAAATGTCGAAGGAATGATCAAGTAATGGAACAGTGTGTAGCAGTGCGTCAGTTAAAAGTTGGATATAGGATACTCAAATAATTAAATGCATATCCAAACCATTTCATTGGAGTGTGGGTTAAAGTGGTTACTCTGATATCCAACAACATGGTTAGATCGAATCTGTGCGGTTTAAGAACCTTTGCAATTTATTGATTTGAAAAGTCCTTAGCATCTTATCCAGAACGAGTGTTTTTTGAATTCAGAGATTAGAGCATAAAAAGAGAAAATGGGAAATAGTTTCTTTTTCCACATTCTGGTTGCAATTATAACAGTAATTATTGTGGGGGATTCTCATTCTGGCAGACTGCTTTACAATAGGCCAAAAACTAGTAAATAAACTAGTAAATAATCATTCTAAAATCTATTTCTCTATTTCCCTAGAAACTTCTGAGTATTTCTATTTACTAGCGATAATGTTTGTTTGAGATTGTAATCCGGTCATAATATTTCACTTGTGTTGAATATTACAAAATTTTCCATATACAATCCGCAAGTATAAAAAGGTTTTGTTATTAACAAATTCAGCATTACTTATTCTGAAACAAATTCTTGCAAGACAGATACTTTTCACGCCAGTTCATCAACGGTTTTATTTCCCTGGATGTTCCGATCAACCGCTGATCCGAGTCCCAAATAAGTTCATCTTGGGTGGTAAGGCTTCTTATGCTTTATTCTATGAACTAAAAGATTGTTAAACTAAATTCAAGGTCTGAATTACACTTCATCGATTTATTAATATAGCAATGTCATTTTTGAATGTGTGATCTGCGAGAAGTATCTCATATGCCTACCTAACACCGAACAGTTCTGCTTGAAAAACGAATCGGCAAGTCGCACAGTCTTTTTATAATGTAATCCTTCCGGATTCTGAAACCGCAATATATTTTAAAAAGATCCGTGCAGATTAGAGCATCAACAAATTCGTTGCCAACTTCTTTTTTAAAAGAAAAAGCCTTAAATTCTTGTTAAATGTCGCATTTGTGTTGATATAATCGCTTTTATCGAACGGATTTTGCTCTAAACACCTTAGTAAGCATAAATGGTAGTGCCCTTTTTGAATATGTGGTCGGTGAGAAGCATTCCACATGTTCCTTAATTCTAAACACTTGTGGTTGAGAAAAGCTAGGCAATTTGAGAAGTCCTAAATTCTTCTTCTTTGGCGATCATTATTATAAATGATCTTATAACTTATAACTGTTCTTAACTTATAATAACAGTTCCTAAAAGTAAAAAATGTGAATTTTAAATTAAGTCATTGAACTGACAGCTAATATAGTACAAGACAGTCTTTATACACGCTATATACATTATACATATATTACATTTAGAATATTTATATTCAAAGTTGTAAAGACATTTCGTTTACATAAGCTCTTGTTTTTCAAGAGCTTAGAGTCAAACAAAAGCTTTATCTCAATCTAATCAGTCTATTATACAAAATACCAGGGGAGCTTTAATTACGTTATACATTCTTTATGTTTCAGTTATTCAATTTCTTTGAGATTAAATTACACATTTTATTTGAGAAAGAACTTACCTCAGGCACTGGTTGTGAGTAGTTGTTAACTTGATGCACGTCCAAATGTTCGGTGAGCATTGAGAAATGCGGCCAAGGCGCGTCCGTGTCCAAAGCCGTCAATATGGGATTAATAGCAGCAGCGGAGCCGCTTATAAGATTCGTTTTTTCTGCTGTTAAACTGCTACTTTTCGAAGGTGCAGTTGCACCGTTGGCAGCGGCTCCTGCACAAGAAACACTTCCGCTAACAGGATCAATTAAGTTTAGATTAGGTTTTGCAGGTATAGGCGGCGGTCGTTGGGCGCGACGTGGCATTAAACGCGGCGAATTCGGTGTCGATTGCGATGCTGCAATATTAATGTTGGCAGCATGGCCACGCATAGAACTGATACTCTCGACATGTGGGCGTGTCATTGGCATGTTGCCGCTGAATGAAGTGGCACGTTTCGCTAGCAACGGGGAAGCCGTCAGTGACTGTGAGGCATACATAGGCGGTAATGACATTTGCTGCTGGTTTGTACTGGTGCAATATTGCTGTTGTTGAAAGTAGTGCGTTTGCAACAGGTGATGGTGGTGATGGTGTGTTTGCGACGATGCCGATGGAAAAGTATGTAAATATGCGTTACCATCTTGTGGGCGTAAATAATAATTTTGTGCATAACTAAATGGATGTTGATGTTGCTGTTGCTGCTGCTGCTGCTGGTGTTGTTGTTGTTGTATAAGAAATTGCTGTGATGGTGTAGCGCGACCTGAGTTAACGGGTGAAGGTGATGATGAAGTAGAACGTCTACGATTTTGTTGTTGCAGATGTATTTGTCGCTGTTGTTCCAAATTGGTAAGTGTATCGAAAATTTGCGACAAACGTCCCGAAGGCACTTCGTCAGACATTTAGACTGAGAGTTAACTATTTTTAGGTATTATTTGTAAGTTTGTCAAGCGATCGTTAGTTTATAATACCCACAAGTACATTTGTTTGCAGAAACCACAACACCAACGCATTAATTCATTTGCTGTAATGTAAGAAAGAAAAACATCACGTCAATAAAGTAAATGGTTGTTATTCAATGAAATAACTAAAACATATTTATAACTAAAAATAAAATTTTAACATTAATATTCTCTACTCTATCTGACTATTTTTTTCAACAAATGCTATTAAACTATTTTTTTATTATTTTGCTAATGATTCCCTTAAAGTCAGAATTGTGCTTAGCCATTAAATTGTACTTGAATACCTGGAATTGATTTGCATTTGCATTGCGTGTTGCATACATTATAAGTACAACATAATTCAACATAAGCTTTGTGTTGTTGTATTTGCTATTGCAGATAATTTAGTATTTGTATTCAATTTAACAATTGCAAAATTCCTCTTCAGTGTACGACAGGCAGTACACCCAGTGAATGCACTATACAATAGCCAATGATAACCATTTCTGCTGTCAGGCATTTGTATTATTTGATATTTCCTGTGGCAGACGGCATGTTCCACATAAATATAACTCTTACTTACTAATAGCTATGGAAGAATTTTAAGCAGAATTATTGGAAGAAATAGTCGTCTTCCACAAATTGCAGTATTAGTTGCAATTTACCTCAAATGCATACGAATTAATATGAATTGCTTTTACTGTGGTTAGTGAAGTGCATTTCAGGAAGTAACTATGAAACTTATGATAAGCTTATGGTTAGAAAAATTATTTAATTCTATTTTAATTAGGCAAATATTATATCAAAAGAAAATTTAACTAATCATAAATAATGAGTGTGGTTTTACTATCAAAAGCTTAAGACTAACCACTATAAAAATCTGTATTCACTGCAAGTAGGCTTACTTAAAGTTATTCTGATGTTTTAATGTCATAATATTTTAAAAACCAACTGCCAAAGTGACAGCTAATGCACTTGCCTATAAGAACAGAAATAAAAAATGGAAAATAAAATTCAGAAAACTCTTAGCTAAATGCACTAAAATATAAGGAAAAACGTACTCAACAAGATAAATAAATAAAATTGAAAGAATAAGAAATAGAAAATAAAAAACAGAAAACTGCTATATATAACTGGACTTATAAGAGAGGGAAAAAATAAAAAAAATACATTTGAAATATTAAAAATTTAAATTAAATCTTTAAAATAATACTTAAATACAAGAATAATTTATTAATTACTTAAAACAGAAAAACATAAATATTTCTTTACACATTACATAAAACTATGGGCTACATAGCTAATCTATTCCAAATGTAGAACCTCTGACTTAATGCACAGAAGCAAATCAGAGGTATTTAGGTTAACATCTGTTTTTAAAGGGTACTGGAGCATAAGACGGCATGAAGCTAGACTTGGCCTACCCTGTGGTATCTTCTGTAATTCGTGTCTAACAGTGCTCGCAGAAAGGACACCAGAGTACGTGATGTGTCTATGTCCAAACTTGGATCCCCTTCTGGGGGCTTGCTCCTTCAACCTACTCATCGTTATCTCTAGTATTAGCATTGGCCAGATTCTTGCCTTTATAGTATAAATGCCTCTGGCTGGTTCTAGCTTGAACTTCTATCTAGCTTGACTACCCACTATTACGAGGTTTTTGCGGATTCAAAACGGCTTTTTTAGCTAATTTAGGAGGACTCGTTGCTCCCTCCACTACAACTAACTAACTAACATAAAACTATAATAGAAAATCTATTTCTTATAAAGCTTTCATACGAGTTGACTAACAAAAGTTAGTTCAGTTCGAAACGCGGATTAAATTTTTAACAAATCAAAAAATGTCAGCTGATTTGAGATAGTATCGAGATATTTCATTTGAAGTTTTATAGCAAGCACTGATAGTGGACACAAGAGGAAGCAAACTTAAAAAAAAAATCGGTGCAAATTTCACTATAATTGCAGTAAAATATTTGATTTGCATTTCTTCACAAATTTCTTCATAACCTTACACGGAGATACCTAATGAATTTCAAATAATGTATGGAAAGAATGCATCATCACTTGCGGCTGACTCGATATGCTGTCGAAGATTCCAAACCGAACATTTTTCTATTAAGAACAGCTTGCACTGTAGTGGATTTACTAAATTTATACATACTATATTCCATGGACCAGCGCCGCATAGTTTTTGGTTATTTCTAAAAATAAAAATTAAATTAGGAAGAAAAATCTTCGACAACATTAAGGAAATAATTAGTGCAATCAATCTTGAAATCGCAAACGACAAGAAATTCGAGTTTTAGAACTGGATCTACTGGTATTGGAACTAATTGAAATGATGTTGTAAAAATGTAAAGTTATCGATTTAAAATATTTTCGAAAATTGTTTTTTAACCAATTAAGCAAACTGCGGTTTGTCCTCTCGTAGTTATAACATCATAATCTCATTACATAAAAATAATACGAAAAACGCGGCAGTTTGTATAAATTTAATATAGTGCATAAATCTTTTAACTGTCTTATCTTTAAAACAATTAACGGAACTGTGCTTAATTTTATAGAAACCTTAAATGTACAACTTTAAAAACCTAGGCTATACATAATAGATCTATTCTGATTGCACTGCATTCTAGCTGCCAATAATAATAATAAATTCTTTAGTTTTTAATGATTTAAACTTCATAACCCAAATGCTAGATGTAAAAATATTAAAGTACTTGCAATGTCTGCTACTTCAACTTAAATTTGGACTTCTGAAGCCACGTCTAGCGTAATTCTTCTTGAATAAACTAAAGCTATATCAATTATATCAATTTAAATATGCATTCACTTGAACTTTTCACGTTTTCATTCCAAATAAGCAAGGAACTTGTAACACGAACTATAATCAACTCCATTAAACACACCCACAAAGTAAGACTAGATAGATACTCTCCCGCACCCACATTCGAATTTAAATTCAAAAGAGAATTTCTGCTAAAATATAGTAGCGGGCATTTATGTCACGTATGTCCCACAACGAATTAATAACCAAGTGTGCTGCAGACATTCTCATGGCGCTGCGTAGAGACTCGTGAAGACGCGCTCCACTAACTTAGCACCACAAGCGTCTCATCGCTCCAGCGTTCCAGCTCTGCAGCTCTGCAGCTCCGCAGCGTAGTCGTTGTTACTTGTGGTGTCTTATCAATAAACTCCAAATTAAAATGCGCAACACATGTGCACATATTTTACAAAAATATATTGAAATAATAGAATCAAAAACAGAGGAAAAATAATATAGTGTGTGACTTTTAAACTAAAAACGCGATATGGTAAAGTAGTGCGAAAAGCACTAAACCCCATTCACTGGCTTTAATATGTTTATGAGGAGATAATTTAAGCTGCAAGTACTTAACTTGACTCATATTGTTGTACTTCATAAGCTGAATTTGAGAGCGTTAGGATTGCACACTACAAAAGCGTCACAACAACAAAAAAATTTAATTATGTATCTGAAATATAAATTGTGTGTAATTAATTAAGAGAATCCCTTTTAGTTTCAAAATGAAAATGTTACTGACACATGGTACTATTAGAAATAGTTATGACCGACGATTGAATATAATTTTATAAAAAAAAAATAATGAAGTTAGTCACATTAGTTTTATGTTAATTTATTAATTAATTTTTTATATATTTCATATATTTCTATAATATCAATACACACATATTAACGTACTCTATACAAACATAATTGTTGAAGTTATGTATTAGGTATAGTAAAACAAATCCATTACTATCCCTATAGATGACTTTAGTTATCTATATCTCGCCTTGTATACGTCCGATCGGGTACGTTAAATGGCGTTAGAAATATGACATTTCGTACTAGATAAACTGTCCTATTTTTGACAGTTTTGATCAATTAGTTGTCTCAGTTTTGTTGAAAAGTGCATCAACGATGGACACTAGTCCATCTAGTCCATCACTAGTTTTTTTTATAAAGGCGAAAACACAAGCCAGACGACTGAAATTGTGAATAGTGTTTCTGGTCCTGATACTATAACAGCCAATCATGCAGATTTTTGGTTTCGTCGTTTTCGTTCAAGTAATTTCCGGAACGGTCGGACAATCGAGCATCATGTTAGCATTGTTTCGATTGCCTAAGACTGCACAAAAAACCATTGCATATTTGGAACCATTTGAATAAGGCTGGATACAAAAAAAAGCTCGATATATAGGTGCCACACCATATATAGTTAATGCAAAAAAAGCTCAAAATTTCTATCTGCGAATCGCTGCTGAATCAGTGGGTGACTAGTGATGAAAACTAGATCACTTACGACAACATCAAGTGAAAACGGGTGTGGTTAAGTTGCGGTAAGCCGGCTGTAACGATGGCCAATCCAAGATCAGAAAGGTTTTGCTATGTGTTTGGTAGGATTGGCAGAAAATTATCTACTATGAGCTACTCCCCTACTTGTTAGAACTTGAAATTGTTCTAACAATAATTGAACAGTACCCTCTGAAGGAAGCAATCGCCCGGAAACAGCTAGCTTTGAGCAATAGGAGAGGAATTGTGTTCCATTAGGGCAACGCCAGGCCACACATATCAATAATGACTCACCAAAAACTTCGTGAGCTTGGTTGGGAAGTTCCTATGCATCCACCTTATAGTCCAGTTTCTGTTTCGATGGCAATCGTTTATGTCAGTGGCAAACGATTTTATTAATGAAAAATTCACTTCAAGGTAGGCTTGTGAAAATTGACTGACTCAATTTTTTGTCAATATGGAAGAGAACTTTTATGAGAGAAGCATAATTACCTTCAAAATGGCAACAAGTATAATAAATAGGGGAAATAAAACGACCCCTATTGAACCTAAATCGGATCATTCTACTTATGGTATATAAGCCTATAATTTTATGCAAAAATAATGAATTTATTTTTACTACACGTATATTTATATTGTATATTAACGGCGTTACTCCATTTAAATAAACATATATCCAAATAATGTAAGATTTGTTTCGTAGGTTTTATGCAATATCTTGGAATTATTCAGTTCTTTGAAAGAAAA